TTTTATGATCTCAATGATAAAAGTTGATTGTTTACACTCACTATTTATCTATAGGAGGATCATATTATGAATTACATACCTAGTACCATAATGTTAGAGAATATGGTATGAGTATCAGATGTAACACATTTGAACACACTTATTATAGAGATTGAGAATAATAAATGAATTCTCTATTGATGCGTCAGCATCATCTAGTACACAGATTCCTGCATCGGTACATTAATGTAGTGGGAGGATTATCATCCAATCCGACAGAATCATGTTTTTAGGTGAGACCATTATGGATATCCCTGTTAAACATGAGTTGGACCTAGTAAGTTACACGGAAGCGTGAACCGATATGGATACAGATCGTTTTGGTGAGTTACTATGAAATCAGAGTTGGAATCTATGTATTCTAATAAATTCTGGGATCTTGTAGAACTTTCTAGTAGGGTGATTCCTATGGAAGGTAAGTTAATCTACAAAAAGATGCCAGAAGATTTTTTAGTGAATAAATCATGAGTGTACAAGGGAATGTCATTATTTTTTTGATTCTATATTTATATATGACATCCTACTCATTTAGAATGATGTGGAAGTTTTGTCATCGATAAAGAGGTAGTTGTTCAATTACTTTTAAATGAAAAATTTTCAAGATGTAAGCTATATTCCTAGGATCAAGCTTTTGCAAGATCAGGTTAAAAGGAAAATAGGCTTTTCTTAATAATCCTACATTGGAAAAGTTTTTATTAAGTTTGGTATGCATAACTCAAAGAATGAGTTCTTGCTTTATTGATATGGATTGCTCTCTCTAGTAAGTAGTTTTCCAAGACTAGCAGAGGAGATTGAACAAATGAGACTAAAACTATATGCTTTGGCATATGAGAGTCTCATATATGCCATGGTCTATACCAAATAGGACATCCGCTACATTATAGGGATAGTCAAATGATATCAGTCCAATCCTGAACTTGATAACTGGTCTGTTGTGAAAAATATCATTAAGTATCTAAGGAGGACCGAGGATATCATACTCAGTTATGGATGTGATGATATGGTCCTAGTCAGGTATGCTAGTTCTAATTTTCAATCAGAAGTAGATACTATGAGGTTCATGACTTAGTGTATGTTCATTTAATGGAAGGGCAATCAGTTGGTAGATTGTTAAGCAGATTTGAACTGCTGACTCAAACCTGCAGGTGGAATACATTGCAGCCTTAAAGGCAGCAAAGGAAGCTTATTGGTTTGATCTCACTGAATTAAAGGTTGTGGAGTATACTAGCCTGCCTATTGAGCTATGTTGCGACAATAATGCAGAAGTAGTCCAAACCAAAGACCCAAGGTTCTATAGAGGAACAAGATACACTGAGAGGAAAGTATCATGTCCTACATGATATTGTTCGGCAAGAATATGTACTCATGGATATGACATTGCATTGGAGCACAACTTTGTTGATCCATTTAAAAAGGTGTCATCGATCAATAGTTTTAATCAACACCTGGATAACATTGGAGTTAGATGCAATTTGAATTGGCTTTGAGGGCAAGTGGGAGCTGTTGGGATTTATATGCCCTGGCATAGCAAATTTCTATTTGGATTAAAGTGACATATGTTCTTGACATATCTGAAATATTTATGATTTATATAATTGATGAATTCAATGTATTGTGTTTCGATTCATTATAGAATTGATAGTGTCCTCGATTACAAGAAATATTTATATATGTATGAGATGGCGATCAATACATTAATATAAATAGTAATCATAAATTGTTCATAGTCGGTAATTATGGATGGAATCATAATTAATTAAGACTTGAACTGAATCCGCTTTAGGTTGAGATATATTGCGAGAGCCGTCGTATGCAATTGCTCCCTATTACTGTCATGGCATTTGACTCTTAAGCATGAGAAAATTATAGACTCTTTTATTAATTAATAATTACTTTGATTTGTTCAGCGGATTCTTCGGGATCCTTAGACCGACACTTTGGGTAGTTATGTAATTAATAGTTAGAGGGCTATATTTTCAATATTTGCATCATTGCTACTTGTATTTATTTTGTATTGATTATGGTTTATCACAAAGTAAATTCGAAGGCCTTCGTGTGGTTTTAGACAAAATGATTTATTATATATATTTATTTATTAAATTATTATTTTTGTTAAACAAATGTTTTATTGTGATCGAGTCAGAAATAATCAAAGGTACCAAAATAAATATATTAATTAAATAGTCAGATTGATGGCTTTATTTATCCGATAACTAATTATGCATAGAGGGGTCAAAGTGTAATATTGACTTTGAGGTTATTTATTATTTAATTGGAGTTCAATTAATTTCTTTTAGTGGAGTAGAAATTAATTTATGAATTAATTGAATTGGGACCATGGACCGGGCCAATTATTAGTTCATTGTAGCCAATAAAATAATAGGCCCAAAGGATTCTCACTCATAGCCCAACTTGATATTGGAATCATATTAGATTTGAGATTTGTGAATTAGAGATTGCGAAGGATTTATAGTTTCCTTTTCCTTATCTTTATGTTGCCTATATATATACATGGTCTATGTATATTTTGGGGATGATTTTTATGAGAAGGAAAAAGGAATAAATTTTCTCTCTCTAGAAAATTGGGGTTAATGTTCTCATCTAATGGAGGCTCCCACAAGCCTAGTTTTCCAAGGTCATTCATGGAGGCTTATGAGTGATTCCTAAAGGCAAGACCATTACCAAGAAGATGGAGATCCATGGAAAAGGTGTCTAGCAAAAGGGATCTACAATAAGTGAGAACATTCACTTTAGAGGAGAGATCTAAGGTTTAATCAAACCTTGATGTAAGTATTCAATCTTTTAATTGAATGATACATCATGTTTTATTTTTGCATAAAATTTGTCTCTATGTAATGAATCAAGATCTATGAATTAAAATGCCTCGAAAAATTTTTAAAACTAGAACGTTTCGCAACAAAGGTGTCTCCCGCCAAAATTGGACATTGAGTCACTCCTTCTGTTCCATCAAACCAAGGTGTTCCTTTCTGTAGTAGTTCACAAAAATAACTCGGTTTATCAGTTAGAAAACTATAGAAAAATTCTACTTAGTTCAATTTTCTCTGAAAACTCGTCATAAAAACGTCTGTTTTTGTCTTAAAACAGTTTTATGTTTTTTGAATTTTTGAGAATTATTTTCAAAAAACTGAACAAAACATATATGATCAAGAATTGCATACCTGTCTGATTCCGTGCCAATGGATCGCTACATTCTCAGTTAACAAACTGTTCTTTAGCTCCACTATGATTGTATCATATTGTTGTGCTATGATTGAGGGTCTTGGGGTTCTTCCAGTTATGGCTATAACCAGTTTCTTTTAGCAATCAGGGGACTTATGCTCATACTTCACCTCCCACTTGTATCTATGAATTCTCGCCCTGGCAAATGGAACAGTACTTAGTAGTGAAACAAAGAGACACAGAACTAGAAATCTTATCATTACAACTATTATGGGATTGATAAAAAAGCTCGACTCAAACTGCAAACTAACCAAATTAACTATGCTGGTTTGTGCTGGAGTTGCTAGCTCCAAAGAAGAGATTGTTAGGGGATTGAAATGGAATTTCTATAACTCAGCTTCATCTTCTTCTTATACACATTTGAGCATTGATTAGTCAATCAAAGCTGCAAGGAATTTTGAGTCTGTAGAAAAATCAATTGGTAAGGAGATTAACACAACAGAACTTGGTAAACATTTACTCTTTCCTAGGACTTTCCTCGTATATACTATTTCTTTTCTTCTCTCTCTCTCTCTCTCTCTCTTTTATTTATTTATTTAGTTTGATTAGAGCAACCCAGCACAGAAGCAAAATGTACAATATCTGATGAAGTGTTGAATGAATATCCTTACCATGCACATTACACACTTGTGGCCCCCCTTCGTATTCCACACCCAATTCTTCAAACGTGTAGTATCAAGTAGCCATTGTACACTTGAAATGGTGGGCCTTGTGTGTGCTTTTAATATTATAAAATAAATTGATTGTGTATTAGTAGTATGTGGGTAAATTTTAAAATAATAAAGTGTAAAATATAAAAAATGTTGGCACAACAAGAGAAATAAATTTTAAAAAAATGTGTAGAGTCATGCCACCATAATTGCTGACATGACACTACACTTTGTAAAAGTGTAGAATGAGAATGGAGATGTTGCGGTGGGGATGCTTTTAGAAGGAAATAAGTAAGAAAAGAAAAATAAAAAAATAAAAAATGAAAAAAAAATAAAGTCAATGGAAAGAAAAGTTATTTTTTAATATGCATTTGATTAGTTTGAAATTTTATTCAAAAAATTTGTAAAAAAATATAAATTATTTGTGGGACCACTTAAAAATCTCTAATTAAAGACACAGAAGGTTGGTGAGGCTAAATTAGGGTTCTAGTGTAACAGACCCAATTAAAGACAGAATATTGTATATTTTAATATCAAGGGTAGTTTTGGAAACTTCCTTCTAAAAGATCTTAATCTTTTTCTTCTTTTATTTTTTTTGAGATTTGATGAAGAATATCCGACGACCAAAAAGGAATGAACCATGACAAATTAATTGAATTACTAAAAATCCAACCAATCAGTTGACAGAAAGAACAAACACTGGAGCATTAACTAACACAAGTTCAAAGTGAATAATAACACATTTGTGCTTGAAGCCACCAAAAAAAGAAAAAAAAAAAAAAAAAAAAAAAGAGACTACTTTAATAGAGACATTTTCAAAACATTAATTCCATATCCATCCGACAAGATAAACGACAGTTAGTGCTAACCTCAATGGATGGGTGGTGAAAGAAGGGTATTCACATTGCCAAAAAATCCCATTCGGGCACATATCCAAGTTCCAGACAGAAATGGGCTATCTATTCCCCCTCTGTGCCAGAGTGATAAATATATTAATTAAACCCCCAAAACAAGTCCAAAATAGATAGATCCATCACATGGTTATGCAACATGTTCAATTCTTCCATTGGTATGGAATTTAGGAGTTCCGAGATCGCCAAGGAGGTCTCGGACATGCTTGCCTCTCGCTACTCTAGTTCTGATGGGGTTCGCCAATTTTAATTAATGGTTCAACTTTCTACTTTTAAACAAGAGTCAGGTCAGCGAATTACTGAATTCTTCTCTCAAATGAAATGTTTATAGGATCAATTAGCTATTTTCGAATCATCATGGGAACATTCTTCTGAAGCAAAGAAATTTCTCGAGTATCGCAATCAGATTAGACTTCATCAGTTTTTGATGAGTCTTCATGATGATTTTGAACCAATCCGTAGTCAGCTTCTCCATCGCTTACTTCTTCCATCACTTAATCAAGCTCTCAATGAACTTGTTCGAGAAGAGACACGCTTGCAGACTTGTCACTCCCAAAATCATCTCACTGTTTTAGCCACACCATCTTCTCCTCAGTCAGTGCCATCTCAGTCAGCACCAAATCGCCCCGCCTCATTTTTTGTACAAAATCGACGCAACAATAATAATCAATCTGGCTCCAATAGATGCAACAATAACAATCAATCTGGCTCCCATGGACGTAACAATAACAATCGATCTAGCTCTTAGCAATCCAATAACAAAAAGGACCGTTCATCTCTTTACTGTATTTTTTCTTGGCTTTCAAGGCATAACACTGACTTTTGTCGTACTCGTGCTCAACTCTCTACTACAACCGTGGCTAATACAGAATATATGTCACCACCATCTTCAACATCGGTCAACAACTCTTCTGACGAATCTACATCTACCTCATATACTTTCTCTGTAACTGATTTTGAAGCAATTCTCAACTAGGTTTTATCTCGCTATCAAGGTGCATCTTCCACTCCTCTTTCTACTACACTAGGTAAACATGGTTCTTGGTATTTTGACCCTACTTATTGCAATCACATGACACCTGATCCTACCTTACTCATATCCTAAACTCCTACTTCTTACTCTCCTATCATACACACAATAGATGGTTCCACTATGGCTATTAGTCATATCGGAACTATTTCTCAATCTCAGTTATCTGTGCCCCATGTTTATCTTATTCCAAATCTTTCCCTTAATCTTTTATTTGTTGGACAACTAACTGAGTTAGGATTGACCATAACATTTTCTTCTAATAGTTGTGTTGTACATGATCCTAGGACAAGACAGATCATTGGGACAGGTCATAAGATAAGATGATTGTTTGAACTTTCTTCATTACATCTGCCTTGTAACGACCCGAACTCGTAGTTCCGGATCGCCAACCGGGTCCTTACTCGAAACTGAGGTCTCTTAGGTCAATACCCTCAATTCTATGCATCATTTTTAAGTCTTATATATGTTCCAAGAAGGCTTTAACTAAACTCCCAAGGCTCAAGGTCAAACACATCAAAAGAAAGAACAAGGTGCACCATTCAGCTGTATTTCGATCAGCCGAAATGGGTATTTAGCTGGTCGAAATACCCCCCTGAACCGGTAGACCGAAATGGCCATTTTGGTCGACCGGTTGTGACCTCTACAGTGACTGAACCTACTGGAATGATCAACCGACTGAAGTGCCCATTTCGGTCGGCCGAAATGGGCAAGCTGCTATGATCATGGTTGTGAATCAAAATCCCAATATGAAACTTTAAAACTGAAAGAATACTCTCCAAACACATATGAAATTATAGAGTACAACCCTATAATGACTAACCATATAAAAATACATGATTCATTACATGAATTAACGATCAAAATCAAAATACTTGAAGTAATAACAATTTATAATCCATGAAGTAAAATCAAACTTATACAAATGAACCATGCTTTACAACTTCATAAATGATACTTAAACTTTACATTGATACCATGATTTATAACTTTTTTACAAAAGTCTACAAAATACAAGTTCCAATCCGGTCTATAGTTGTGGAGGGTTATCGTCTGCCAATTCTTTTCCCAATCCTGAAAAAAAAATATTAAATAATGGGGTAAGCTAAACGCTCAATAGGAGGTGCCTACGATACACCTTTTTATAACCCTGTGAATCCATATATAGAATAGAAATCAAGAGAACGGGATCATACTATACCGGGGATATAATCCATGAATACAACGGCAAATATAATCACAAATGTCATCTAAGCCACAAATATACCATGTATGCCAATGAAGTGCAATGACATGCCCATGTCGCTTCCCATTTCTGAAATATTACCTTTTCAACTTCCAAACCGTTAGGGTTAATCCGACCTAAGGCACCTCCAAGGCGTCACGAAAGGAGGATTGGCTAACTATCCATGACCACAAGGCACCTCTAAGGCGTCGCATCCAGCCTAATTAACTCAACCACACTCCCTTCTAGACTACATTAACATCGCGGACCACTAGGTGCCTCCTAGACGTCCAGTTTTCGCAAATACTTTTAGAAAACTTTTTCCCAAAATAATTTCACTTTTTTTAAAACACTTTTCCCCTTTTTCTTTCCCAATGAATGCATGAGTGCTTCATGCTTCTAATCATTAATGTAACCATAACATTCTCATACATGCTACTCAAGATAAATTGCTAAGATATACAATTCATGCTTTCAATCATCATTGATTCAACATAATAAGCACATAAAACAAGAGTTTAATCCCATGTATGCATGCTTATTCACAACACATCAACTATCACATATTTGCACATTTCATATACATCATTTACATCATTTTAAAGGTAATTAACATAAAATGAGCATGCTTGCCACAAATAAAGGAAATTCAACTCACAAAAGTATAAGAATTTGTGGATTAGAGACCCCTACCTCCAAAATGATGAAAACCCCCAATTGAGCCCTCAAATTTCAAAAATCCTATGGTGCACCAAAGAAGAAATTGTTATATCAACTTAAAGATCTTGCCGAACTCTCCGTTTTACCGCAAACGGCACCAAAAAATTTTCAAAATTGAGAGAGAAATCAAAGTCTAAAGCTTAAAGCAAAAGGAAAAGAAAAATAAATGAAAATGAGGAAGAGAGAGCTTGTTACGGGAAGAGAGAAAAGTGAATCCAAATGTGGCTTCTTGGCCACTAATTCAAAAGACATGGTGGTAGGTCCCTCCACTAAGGAAAATATAAATATCTTTTTAACTTAATTTTACACCACAAATATATATATGCATACAACTATATTTAAACAATATAAAACACATTAACTAAAATGAATGTGATGCAAATGGACCTACACAATACCGCGTACTCAACAAATCCGGTAGCGGGTCCCACACGGGACCGTCCAAAAAATGAAAAAATGCTGAAATGGCAACCGTTGCATTTCTAAGAATCCTAAACTCAAAGAAATGCCCCAACCAACTCTTGGACACTCCCGGTACACCCCACGGTGTCCGTCACGCAAAACGAGAAAATACGAAAATGCCCTCGTAAAATCAAAAAATTTCAAGAAATGAAAAATGATAAAAATTGGAAACATCACATGCCTACTACCACTATTTTTGCAGCCTCTACACGGTCCATCTCTCCTACACTTGAGTTATGGCATTCTCGTTTGGGTCATGCATCATTATCTCGTGTCAAAACGCTTGCATCTGCGGGTTTGTTAGGTCAAGTTAAACTTGAGTCTTTTAATTGTATTTCCTGTCAGTTGGGAAAACAACCTGATTTACCATTTAATAAAAGTGAGTCTTTTGCTTCTACTCCATTTGATCTTATTCATTCTGATGTTTAGGGACCTTTGACTATATCTACTATGGGAGGATCACGATATTTTATTATTTTTGTTGATGATTTTTCACGATTCACATAGATTTTTTTAATGAAAAATCGGTTTGAATTATTTAAAATATTTCGTGATTTCACTCAAATGATTGCAACTTAGTTTTCTAAATGAATCAAAATGTTTCGATCTGATAATGCTCAAGAGTACCGACAAAATGAATTTCAAAAAATTCTTCAACATTACGGTACAATTTTTTATACTTCTAGCACATCTCAACAGAATGGTTGAGCTAAACATAAACTTCGACATATTTTAGATTTAACTCGTTCATTCACACTTTTTTGCTTCTGTGCCTTCATCTTTTTGGGATGAAGCATCTCTTACTACTGTTTATACCATGAATCGTGTTCCTACACCACTTTTACAAAATCAAACACCCTATGAACGTCTATATGGAAAACTTCCTGACTATAGTCATCTTAGAGTCTTTGGGTGTGCTTGTTTTATTCTTCTTCAACTTTATGTTTTGTTCTTCTTCAACTTCAGATTAACCTCATCCTTCTAATAAGGTGTGCAGACTTAGACATGCTTTGTATAGTCTCAAACAGGTACCGCGAGCTTGGTTTGCCAAATTCAATCAGACTATCTCTCGACTTGGCTACTCTGCTAGTCCTTATGACTCTACTTTATTTATTCGACGCACCAATCAAGGTGTCATTCTCCTTTTACTTTATGTTTATAATATGATCATTACTGGAGATGATTTGATGGGAATTCAGGAGCTCAAACAGTTTCTCAATCTTCAGTTTGAGAAAAAGTTTCTTGGATCTCTCAGTTATTTTCTTGGTCTTGAGATAACTACAACTACAGATGGTTACTATCTTACTCAAGCTAAATACATATCCGATCTTCTCTCAAATCGGGTCTCACTGACAGCAAGATTGTTGATAACCCCTTAAGTACAATACAAGAGTTAATTTACATGATGGAGAATCTCTTCGAGATGGTATTTTGTATCGCCAATTGGTAGGTAGTCTGGTTTCTCTCACTTTCACTCATCCCAAAATCTCTCATGTTATCCACATAGTTAGTCAATTCATGACTGCCCCTGGGTCCACTCATTTTGCTGCTATTCATCCCATCCTTCGTTCTCTCAAAGGTACTATGGTTCATAAATTGCATTTTTCTTCCCAGTTATCGCTTATTCTTCGTGCCTATTCAGATGAAGACTGAGCAGGAGACTCTACAGATCGTCGTTTCACCACAAACTATTGTTTCTTTCTTGGTGATTCACTTATTTCTTGGCACAGTAAGAAAAAGACTGTGGTTGCTCGATCTAGCAGAAAAGCTGAATACATGGCTCTTGCTGATACTACTTCTGAGCTTCTGTGGTTGCGTTAGCTCCTGGGAGTTTCTTCATTTACTGCCACTCCTCTTTATTGTGATAATAGGAGTGCAATCCAGATTGCACATAATGATGTTTTTCATTAACGCACTAAACACATTGAGATTAATTATCATTTTGTTCGTCATCAACTTCTTCAGAAGACCTTACAATTGCGGTCCATCACTTCACATGATTAGATTGCTGATGTTTTCACCAAATCGCTTCCGCCATGTCGCTTTCAAGATCTTATTTTCAAACTCAAATTCATTCAATTCACCTTGATTTTGAAGGAGGCTGTTAGAATATATTATAGAATATATTATTACTAGATTGTATAAAATATTCTAACTTTGTATAGGATTATCATATATATTGTTACCATATACATATAGGGTTACTTATTTATCACATAACCCCTCTTATATAAACCCCTCTTTGTATACATCTTTTACATCTATATATACACATTACATAGTACTCTATTTTGTATTTAACCCGTCTTCAACACCGAGGTCGACACCGAGAGTGGTATCACGCTCCTTTTCGGCGAGAGTGGTTTCACGCTGGTCAACATATTCGATGCGTCAAAATTCCCCACCCGATTAAATGCATTTCAGAGTTCCATCCAGTTGCCTTGGATGGATATATGGATAGATCATGGATGTGTATGTGAGGGACCACCATGGCGATTTATGCTGAAATATCATGTGCTTATGTCATGCTAATTTATTGTTTGCCTGACATTTTAATAATTGATGAACGGAAAGGAGGAGGAAAATTCATTCCATTACCCTTTCCACTGTCAGTCCATTGACTTTGAACAGACCCTTGCCATTGACTTTGAACATATATTAAATCTATGCGACTAACTCCACTTGTTACGTTGAATGGATTCTATGGATACATCATCAGTGTGTGTGTGTGCGCGTGTGAAAGAGAGAGATTTGTGCCTCGACTTCCAAATTTTGAAGAGTGCGCGTATGATACATGTGAAAATTCTCAGATCACTAAAGAAAGACAGCAAAATTTTACAGAAATCTTTATACAACCTAGTAAAACTTTGGAATTGATTTGTAACATACAATTTGACAATGTTATGTTGCAGATAATGTACAATGACTACAAATTGACTAATTCACACTTAAGTCATACAGAGTGGGAGTAGCGGCAAATGTAAAAGAGAGAGCACAAAAGAAACAAAATCTAAATCACAGTGCTACGATAAAGCGTGAAAGCGCCTGCGGAATTGGAACACGTATAAAGCGTGACACCCATTTTGAAAAATTGTGCTTCCCACACAAGAATCATTCCACAAAATGGTGTGAAAAAAAATATTTTACAGTTATGAAACATATTAAAAAAACGTTAAGGCCTTTGGAAACCTTTGGTCTCACCACATCCCATAATAGATGTTGGCAATTGTCCCACCTTCTCTATCCCTTCTTCAAACACAACACCCATGCCCATATAGAAATGAGACTCTATATGACAATGGAAAGCCCACACACCTGGATTATCAGTGCGAAACCTCAAAGCAGTCCACCCATAAGGATGAACAGGCACTGTGTTCTTCATGATTGGATTAACCAAATTGTAATTCTTTGGATCATTGTACATGTCAAATTTGCCTGTGCCATATCCGAGTACCCAAAAATTGTGCCCGTGGAGGTGCCATGGATGTGTCTCACTATTGTTTGGAGTCATTGTGTTTGCATTTTGAAGAATGATGTCCACAGTTGTGTTAAACTGCAGCCTATAGATGGAGTTGCTAGTCGTGGCATTCACATTCTTCGCGACACTAAAAATGTCATAGTTCACGAAATCATAGCCACTAGGAGGAGGGTTCTGCTCGATTCCATGTAACAAATTCTCCTTTAGCGCGATTAGGTATGGCGTATGGGGGTGTTCGAAAGAGACATTATTGACGGACCACCTAATGTGGCCATTGATCTTGTTCTGTGTGTTTAAAAACACAATGACTCTATCTGGTTTTAGAGGATGAGGATGAATGTAACCTTCTCGCGCCTTGATTGAAAGAGACTGAGCGATTCTTGGCGTGACATCATTCCAAATAGGGCCCGGAGGTGGAACTGTTGGAGGAGACCTTCTAGGATGATTTGGGTAGTAATTGAAAATGGCTAAGCCATTTGGAGTTGTCCTGTTCCTGCCAACAACTGCTACACTTGCCCAGTAATTCCGCGAAGGGTCTTGATCGGCTTCTATGAGGACAGAGTATGTCTCACCGGAGTAAATGAATAGGTTCTTCATAACAAATGGTTCTACATTGTGACCATCAGCTTCAACCACTGTCATGTTGTGACCCTGCATTACAAGAATTTGAACCATGTATCAGCAATGGATTAGAATTATCAAACACATTATGAAGAAGTGACATAAACATTAGATTTAAGTACCTCTATTTCAAAACTAAGAGCTGATAGCGCGGTGAGGCTACTAATCCTCAGTCTATATGTTTTTCCTGGAACTACTGTCAGTACATAGGGGGAACATTCCGGATTTGTGGCGTTACAAGAACTGGGTTCTACACTTGGAGAAGAGCAATTGAACCTTCCTCTTCCTTGTATTAAGAGTGACTGAAATGTAATATATTGTAAACACCATCAATTATTTATCAACTTATTTTAGAAAAGCAGCATACTCATATGTAATTCAAATTGTAATTGTAGATGTGGTGTCAGTAATTTAATTACCTGAGGCTCTCCGACCCAAACAAAGGGAATGGAGGACAAGCCAGTGGCTTGTTCATATGCGCTTTTGTGGTACCAATCATTAAGGATGATACTTCGATCAAAGTCATACGAAAATGGCTCGGATTCTCCATCAGGAAGTGATACGCGGATTGATCCATACAGCCCCGCTTCTCTCTGCATACCATAATGTGCATGGTACAGGTATGTCCCTGGCTGCATTATGTTCAAATTAAAGCAAATTAAGCTTGTAAAATGGTGCTGCAAGATTAAGCTTGTAAAAAAAAGGGTTTTAAGGCCAATACAACTTACTCTGTCAACAACAAACTGGTATGTGAAGGTGTCTCCTGGCAAAATTGGACATTGAGTCACTCCTTCTGTTCCATCAAACCAAGGTGTTCCTTTCTGCAATAATTCACAAAAATATTTGGTTTAACTAAAAAACAGAAAACTGTAATTCTGTTTTATGAAAATTCAATTATAAAAGGCATGTTTTTGGATAATTGTCTTTTTTTGTTATCTGAAAATATATATATATATATATATATATTTTTTTTTTCTTAATTTTTTAAAACTGTTTTCAGAAAACAAAACTAAACTAAGTAGATCTGTGTTCATACATCATATACAAGCAATATATATGCAACCCAAATGCTCAATATGATCAAGAATTGCATATATACCTGTCTGATCCCGTGCCAATGGATCGCGACATTCTCAGTTAACAAACTGTTCCTTAGCTCCACTATGATTGTATCATTTTGCTGTGCTATGATTGAGGGTCCTGGGGTTCTCCCATTAATGGCTATAACCAGTTTCTTGTAGCAATCAGGAGACTGGTACTCATACTTCACCTCCCACTTGTATCTACGAATTCTCGCATCGGCTAATGGAACTGTACTTAGTACTGAAACAAAGAGACACACAGCCAGCAATCTTACCAGAACAATTCTTCTGGATTGATAAAAAAGGTCAAACATGTTTTCAAACTGCTGGTGTGTCCTTGAGCTGTTGCTAGTTCCCAAGAAGAGTTTTTTGGGTGATTGAAATGGGGGATTTCTGTAACTCAAATCTTCATCTTCTTATACACAACTAATCACTGATCACAGTCAATATAGGTGGCTATGAATATTGAGTCTACACAAATGCTTTGGGGAGAAGACCAAGAAGTTTCCTAGGTGTTTCCTCAGTTTATACCTTTTTTCCAATTTTATTTTTAAAACCAAAAAAAAAAAAAATGCTTTGCAGTGGTCCAAAAGCATACGTAGAGATTTGGATGTCTATAAAATAAGTGGGAACCAACAGGGGCGGAGCCAGTAATTTGTTTCAGGGGACGCCATATTAAAGATGATAAATTATATTTTTTTTTATTTTTTAAACGAAAAGTGATGCAAGACAATAAATCAAAAAATAAAACTATACTAATGGTGGAATAATTTCATTTAATAATTTGAAAAATAATTATTTTAAAAAAATAGGAACATAAAAATACCGACCTTAAGGCAACAAATTTAATTACCAAACTTTGAAGAGAAAAAAAAATAGTTTGAATAAAGGAATGCAACTTTTTTTTAAAGAGAATATAAAGAAGAAGAAGAAGAAGAGGAGGAGGAGTAAGAATAAAAAGAAAGGAAAAATTAAAGATATTTTTTTAAAAATAATTATTTTAGTGGGCATTTTTGTAAAATTTTATAAAATATAGGCCTATTTGCAATAAAAATTAATTGGCCCAAGGGTAAATAATTATTTCAGGGGGTATTTTTTAATTTTTTATAAATTATTGGCCTATGTGTAATAAAAATTAATGTCCATTTTCTTAAAATAAATTATTTCAGGGGGGGCATTTTGAAAACTTTTATAAATTATAGGCCATTTGTAATTAAAACTAATGGGCCAGCATGGGCCCAGGGGGGCATGGGCCCCCCTTGGGCCTATGTTGGCTCCGCCCCTGGGAACCAAGACGTGGGGGCTGGATTTTCTCCTTGTTTTTAGGAGGCCTCAATAGCTATTTTCACTAAGTCAATGACGTGGGCTAAAAGAGGGAAGTTGGTTAATAGCAAAATATATTTCTGGATATACATATATATATATGTGTGTGTGTGTATAAATATATATATATATATATATATATGTATGTATATTAGAATTTTACCCACGATTGAGAGGTTGCTAAAACCAAGTGGTCCATGGCGCTATGAACTCCAAATTTAGAAGGAAAGTCTCAAGAAGGGGAATTACCAAAAATCCAAGGAACATGGTCTGTAGAAGAAAAAGGATGTGGGATGATTTATATTTATGAATATATATATTTATATCAGATTTAGCCCACAATGAAGAAGTCACTGAAATTCACGCCATGAAACAAAGACCAGAAAGGAAAGTTCAACTAGAAGGAAGTTACACAAAGCCTACGAGAACGTGGTTTGCAAATAACTTCTATATATATGCATGATGTATATATAATTATACAGAAAGAAGGATTCTCATAAGGGAAAAATTATCAAAGATGTGGGGTACTTGACTAATATACTTCAGTTGAAAGTGGCAGTGTTTCATGCCATTATTGCCACTAACTGAGGAAGTTGTCAAAGATTGTGAATGAAAAGGGTTAAGTTCATAAAATTGTATCTGAAATAAAGGAGAAGACCACGCATGAGGGAGAATACTAAGGAAGACATGGGACACATGGCAAGATCCGAATCTTCCAGGTGGAAGTTTTCAACGGCTGCTGGAACTGCTGCCTTTCCATTTGGGTAGTTCCAAAACGTGAAAGAAATCTTACAAACATGTATACAACTGCCAAGACCACTATTTATCAGTTGTAGATCATGAAAGAATATGGTTTTACACTTGGCAACATTGAGAGAAGGCTGAAAGATTATGGGACACTTGGTAGTCCAAGGAAAGGCCAAGTGTAAGCTGCTGAAACTGCCACATTTCCAACTGCTGCAAAGAAACTCTATAAATAGAGCACTTAGGCTTAACATACAAATCTTGTTCAAATCACACAGTAATATAGCACTTCAATTACTTTACATTTATGTATCTTTACATTCATGTAATGCACCTTCAATATGTTTAATTCAAGTCCCACACTTATTTTTCTTACTTTCCAACACCTTACATTGAAGTCCTACACTTTCAATATCGTACTTCTTTCCACTAGCCATAGAGTAGTCCAAAAGTCCTTTTTCAAGGCAAAAAGAACCTCTGAAGGTGGTAATTCCAGTCTTTCGTACAGTCGCTTGATCCCTGCAATCTCCAACTGGATAATTGTTCGGATATCCACTTTGAAACGACAGCAGTTCTTTGCACACCCACAATTCACCCTCCTTCCCACACTTAGAAAGGACCGCGGTTTTTAGTAGCCGAACATCTTAGCATGCCCGATGGGACATCTTAACAGATTTTTCAATGGTCGGTAGAAGAAGGTAAGGCAAGTCTGTCCAAGACCCTATCGAACTAAAAGAGATGCAAGCCAGTGAACTTCTAGTGGAAAGTTCACAATTTGCACATAATGAAAGAGATATGGTGGAAAAGTTTGCTCAAATAATGGCAAATGGACCTATCATAGACGACATCCTCATGATGGCAATGTAGCAAGATTGGTTTGTGTAAAACCAAGCAAAAATTGCTCAAGACTTAACCAGAGTTGCGCAAGACCAATTTAAGGCTACTCAAGATCATGCAAAAGCCGTTTTTGCTAACGATCGAAATTTAGCAGAAATGGTGGACCAAATCTCTCATATGTTTAAGTCCATGTTAGAAAGGTCCCTTGGTGGCTTGACTCAAGGTTTGGCCCCTCAGCCAAACAATTGTGAAGGATCCCAACAGTCGGCCTTTCAAGCTAGAAGGCTGGTGATATTTGTTGAAGGTACTTCCTCTCAACAACATACAGGCTCATTCCCTCAAACTTAGCAGCAGATGCAGTCCCTTCCAACGGCACAGACTTATATTCCAACTGCACTTGTGACCGTTTCAGTGGTACTGATAACCATTCCACAATCCGTGCCTATGCCAGTCACTCAGCAAGTTCAAAACCCTCTACCTGTGGCGTTTCCACAGCAGACTTAGCATGATCAGCCAGGCCAACCATGGCTATACCACATTCCTCAAACACAACAGAACATTCCACCTATGAATATTCAGCCAGCTGCACCTTCTCCTCTAAGGCCACCAATGGTCATTCCTATGGTAGTTAGAGGGCAACCTTTTCCAAGGGAGCCACTTCTTGACCAAAGAGGAAGGAACAGTGGCAGGAACAACTATGCAAATGCCAACCCACTGCTAATGACAAGTGGGGGACATCAAGTGGCTAATCAACCTCAAGGTTGGCCAAACGACAACCCTCCATAGCAAATGGCACTTGATAGAGGCCAATTTGTAGAATTCCTTCAATAGGAATTTGGCTTAACTCGAAGGGCTGGAAAGCTAACTTACTGAAAGCCCTATCCAGAGTTCATTGATGAAGTTGAGTTCCCAAGGATTTTAGAATTCCAGAGTTTACAACGTTCAATGGAGAGGGCGAACAGTCGACATTGGAGCATATCAATTGATTCACTCTCTAATGTGGAGAAGCAGTAGCCAATCCATGGCTGAAGGTATGCTTGTTTCCAAATACACTAACTGGCTATGCTTTCAGGTGGTATTCCAACTTACCAGCCAACTCCATCTAAAGTTGGCAGTAATTTGAGGATTCATTCCATACTTAGTTCTATAGAGCTGAGCCTGAAGTGTACATGATAGACATTTCTAAACTTCATCAACTACCTGGAGAATCAGTGATGAGCTTCCATCCTAGTTTCAGGAGGGCCAAGTACAAATGTAATTTGTCTTTACCGTTAGAAAAATATGTGAAGATGGTTGTGAATGGCCTAGAATTTGAACTTTGTAAGAAGTTTGAAGGAGTACAATTCCATGACTTGTTCAACTTGGCCGGTAGAGTGGCTAAGTATGAAGAGCTCCTTCACGAGGAACAAGACCAGAAGAGCTCTTCTAAGGGCACTTACTATTTATAAGGTATATACCACTGAAGTTGAGGGAGAGTTTGAGGTGAATGTGGCTGAGCTCAATATAAAAAAGACCTATACTTGTGAGGCTTTGGTAAAACCAAAATCTGCCATGGCCAACTTGCAAGTTACCTTTAGTTCCAAGTAGAAGGGGACAGACCCTTCAAGGAGTTACACTTTTGACATCTCTAAAACTGAGCAAATTTTTTATTTGCTCATGACTGATAAGCAACTGATCTTCACAGCAGGCCATAAGATGCCAATGGCCTCTGAAATGGCCGAGAAAGAATATTGCAAATTTCATAATTCGTGGAGGCATTCTACTAACAATTATGTTATTTTCCACAATATTCTGTAGAAGGTAATTGAAGATGGCAGGTTGAAGTTTCCAAAAAAGACACAAGTCATACGTCTTGATCGAAATCCTTTCCTCAAGGTCGTTGTAACAAATGTTACTTCTTAGGCCTCAGAACACCCTAAGAAAAAGGTGAACTGGACAGATCCAAGGGCTAGTGAAAAACTGGAAATCCCTAGAGTTGCAACATCCATGGAGAAAATAGTGGTCGAGTTGGAAAAACAACTCGGAGAGGCTCAGATTGCCTTAATCCAACAAAGTTGTTGCCCTAAATGTAAAATTCAGAATGAAGGTTGCCATAAAGACTTTCTAAAAGAGAAGTAGAATGAAAAGCTTTCCAATGGCGATCGAAGTCAGAAACGGAAGGTTCATGACCGGCTAACTTTCCAAAAAGTGAAAAACACAGTCACTGTGACTATTCCAGAAAAGGAAAGCCGGGTCTATACAGAAAAAAAGTAAGCAGTAGGGTAAATAGAATTCTTTCCAAGGAGCATGGAAAGGAATAAGGTTTCTATGAGGCAAGTTTTCGTCCTAACAAAAAGTCTTAAAGTAGCAGTTAGCATGGTTGAACCTCTGAAGGTGACAAATATTCCAGGCCAAAATTAGCCTCGGAAGTATGGGTCAGAAAGAGGAACGAGCATCTCCGTCCAAGAATGGTTAAGCCTCCCACCTCGCAAAGTGACAAGTGGAAGAGGCTTGATCATCCCAAGTTTCCAGTTCATGATGATTCCTATTTGACCTGCACACAAGAGTGAAGGCAGCAAAGAAAGAGGGCTAACAGAAGAAAAT